GTGGATTGGTCTAATTTTTTTTTTCTGAAGACCTAAAGTACATAACCTAACAGTAGCATTTGTTTTATCCCTTGTCAAATGCCCTGTCAAAACAAATCGGAAATTTGTTGTTTGTGTATGAAAGGTTATTCATCTGCACTGATTGAAATGATCACATATGCAAAAGAAAACTCTCATTTTAAACTGAAAAAATGGTTCTTTTATATTCTGTTAGCATACATTGATGACCTGAATGCAGAAGGAACAAAAAGGAACTTGAGTTTCAGGCTTTTCTCAGAAAAGTGTTCTGTGATGGATTAATGGAATATCATAATATATCAGATGAATAAGTATGATAATTGTTCTTATTTATCACTAGGCTAACTGAACTGATTCTTCTGTCAAGCTTTCATTCAAGCCACCCCATAAGGATTCAACATGTAACAAATGCAGTCAAAGGTCATTTCAACACTTTTTAGTCATAATAGCATAATGATTATCTTTTCATTGAAAAAATTTAAACCAGGCACACATGAGGTAATGGAAATGACCCTTTAGTTTGGAATAGAATGTATGGACAGATTATGATGGGTCCTTTTCCTAGCAGAGAACAACACAGGAACAACAAAGCAGACAAAACTCCTTTATAAAGCACACAGATCTAACACAACACAACACAACACAACACACACACAAACAGACACACTCCTACTTCATATTTTGTTTTAAATAGAAACGAGAGAGAGAGAGAGAGAGAGAGAGAGAGAGAGAGAGAGAGAGAGAGAGAGAGAGAGAGAGAGAGAGAGAGAGAGAGGAGCAGAGACATGGTTTAGTTTCCTGGATATCTAAGTCGTAACATCAAGATGCACTGGCAACATGATTTTTTCAGCCTATTTTTAAATAAAAGAAAAGATGTAATAGGCATATTGCTTTTCTGCAGTGGTTCATGTAGGTGTTATGATTTAAAGATACAATCTGGGTCGGTCACCAGGACCAGAGGTTTGCTCTTCCAAGCTTTCGGACTCATGCTGGAACCCATCCTCAGGGAGAGGGAAATTCCTTGGAGAGAGGAGTTTCCTGAGGAAGGGCTTCAGCACGAGTCCAAAAGCTCGGAAGAGTAAACCTCTGGTCCTGGTGACCGACCCAGATTGGATCCTGCAACATTATCCTAGGACATGTATATTTGCTTTCATTCATTGTGTTGTAACTCTAATCACAAGCCTGTATAAAATTTAACTGAGGCCAGTATTTTTGCTTCTGCCTTCCTTGATGAAGTTACTGTTATTATCACGTTCCTGCTATAGGTGGTATGCATTGCGTCTGCCCACCTAAACCTGGTGTTGTTCATTTATATTGGATTATATATTCCTGTCAGAGTTGCCTATGCAGGCAAAGTTGCCTGAGGATGATGGGACCTATAGTCCTATATATGTATAGATTGTTAGATTGGGAAAAGCTGGATTTCGGATACACTACAAAATCTTGGTTGTTCTCAACTGGCAGTACATTGTCTAAAGAATTAATGAGGTAGGGTTGTACTATCATCTTGGCAAATGTTTCTTTTTTGTTTTCTAAAATGTTTTTGCCAGCCTATTTGATATTTGCACCTATTTGATAATGTGTGCTTTTTTTAGCTGTTTCATGCTTTTTTATTCTTCAGATTGGTTAGGATTGGGATTAGGGTTATCATTCAATAGTTTGTTTATTTGATTTATATAGTTACCTATATTACATATGTGACTCTGAGCAACTTACAATAAAATAAATAAAAGCAAATCAAATACATAATGTAAAATAAAAACATCTAGCAAACAAACATCATAAATAACAATCAACAGACCCATGAGATAAATTCTATCAAAGTTCCACAACCTCAGGTTCAGGCTCCAAATCAAGATTTTAAGATCTTATGAAAGGCCAGCAGGACCAGGACTAATCTAATTCTAGTGGAATGAGGTCCAAAATTCGAGGGAGAAAGAGTAATAAATAAATTGGTTATACCATTTTTTTTAACTTTGGCAACTTGTCCTCCCCTCCACCCTTTGCCTGAATTATTTCGACTTAAAGGTATCTTTCACTCTGAAATGAATCATCCTTGTAAAGGAACTTCTTCAGGAGGTCTCTTCACCTCCTTCACCCCTTTCAGTTTGGGCCTTATATTAGAATTATTTCTCAGGAAGGTCCACCAACACTGGAGGGAATTTCTTGGAATTATAGATGTAGCTTCCCTTTGATTAGTTTAGAGTAGAATTACAATAACTGGAGTGGTGAATAGTTTGTTTCACCAGCAATGCTAGCTGCAGGTATTTTTTGTCTGTTTAGTTAGAGTTTGAAAATACAGAAGGTTATTGGTATCAGTAAAAGAGGAATGAAAATGGACTCAGATTAATCACCCTTTAAAAGTGAAATGAAAAATAGGAAAAGAAGTAAGCCTTAAAACAAATCCTGACTTTTGATTGTTCAGTTGATGATAACATTAATCATTCACAACTAAGCTACATACTCAAATTCTTCGCTGCTGAACTTAGACTAGGATTAATTTATTTTCCTACAGTGTAGTTTCATTGCATGTTGTATTTTAGCTATATCATTGCCCAAGATTATTATATAAAATTGGAGAAATTGGTCAAATTTATATTCTCTTGATAATAATTTGTAGGTTGGCATTTTGCCCTTTTAAAATGATTATTCCTTTCTTGGCATATACAGTATATCGAAGTATGAATGGGTAGAACAGCGGTTCTCAACCTGTGGGTCGGGACCTCATTTGGGGTCGAACGACCATTTCACAGAGGTCTCCAAACAACCCAATCCGCCATTTCCCCCCCTTTTCCTTAGCTGTGCTACTTCCTTTTATTCTATTGGCTTTTGAAAGCCAATAGAATAGACTCTTTTGAATAGAGTCTAATTCTATTGGCTTTCAAAAGCCAATAGGAATTGTCCAGGCTGTCTCTGCCCTGCTGAGCCTGCCAAAAGTCCCATTCTGCAAACAGTGCTGCAAATTGTCTGCAGCGAAAGCGAACTGTCTGGAAGTTTCCACCCCTCCCTGCTGAGCAACTACTAAAAATGTAAGTAAAAGAGGGCCAGAGGTGGGAGGTGGGAGGCCGGCGGGCGCAGGGAGGATTGCTGGCACGTGTGGGGCCTGGCAGGTGCCTTACCCTTGGGCTGGGCCAGCTGATGGCCCAGCCGGTGGTCGGCCTGCGCCGTCTCTGCCGCTTGCCAGCTACGCCTTGGCTGGCGCAGGGGGTGGCACCACGCATGCGCGGTGCTCCCAGGCAGGGAAAGTCCTCGACGTACGACCGGTTGGATAGTCCTCAACTTATGACCGGTTGGGGGTCGCGGCATTAAAAAGGTTGAGAACCACTGGGGTAGAACATGTGACTTCATCTAATTACTTTGGGTAATCTGCTTTTAAAAGTATTCTGAGGAGAAACTATTGAAATGATGAAGTCGAATTCTATTTTGCATTTAAAAATGTAATCTTTTTTCATGGATTACTCCTCACAAATGCAAATATTGCTGAGAAAACTATAAAACTACAAAAGTAGTTTGAGAATTTGGTTGGTGTTATATTTATGAGGGTGGTAATAAAGGAAATAAATAAAGGTTATTCTTTTATAAATTGTATCAAATGTAATACCAAGGTGTGAGACTATCTGTTTGCTGCTTCCTGCCTATACAAAGTGATCACAAATAGTAATCAGTAAAGACAATGAAATATGACTTGCTAAAAGCTCCCCAGGAGACAGAAATGTACGCCTTGGGCAAAAATCACTATCAGTAAGAAAGGAACATTGGCCCAAGATGAAAATTATAAGTAAAGAAGATAAGATAATAGCGGATGGACGGAAATTGTCAGGATGACCCTCTAAAAGTGTAAAACAACTTAAAGAATGACTTAAGAGAATAAAGGGGAGTTGGGAGGGCTTCCTAGGCATGGCGTGCATTGTGAAACGGTATAAAATGTATAGCTTGAAAACTGCTTTTTGCGCTCTTTGAACTCAATCCATTTGGGAAGGGTCTAAGAGGCCACACTTGCAACCACTTTTCTTTTTTTATTTTCATGTTTTCTCCAATAAATTTTTGTTTTTGTTAACCAGACTTGTCTTCGAATTGCGAGTATCAAATTTGGGAGTTTTAAATCTCACAATAATGATAGTAGAGATGTATGCACCAGAATCAAATATTTTAGCCCAAACTGTTTGCCAAAATATTATTAGCATGTAATGAATCCAAACAATTAGTTGCTTGAAGAAAAAAGGGGTATTTGCAGATGTAAAAAATACTTTATGAAACAAAGGCATTTAATTGTGTGTCCAACCACACTTGGCCAATAAAAAATTCTATTCTATTCTATTCTATTCTATTCTATTCTATTCTATTCTATTCTATTCTAATAGGGAGAGAAACAATATCAAATGAATCAGCGAGATGTCTGATGAGAATCATTCCTAAATATTTATAAATAGAAAAATAGCAAGATTTCAGTAATACTTATATGATAATGCATACACATAGAAACTCACATGTATTATATGCGACCCAGTGAAGAAATAAAAGGAAAAAACTTACTGGAATTTTCAATGAAGTGCATAGCTATATTGTCCTTTCAGGATCTTAGAGCTAAAATATTTTATGTAAACTTGAAGTAAAAGAAAGGGAGATAGAGAGAAACTAACTAGGCTTCCTATGCTAGGATCAATCCTTTTCCATAGATGAATTGTTCTCTCCCATTGTCTTTTCTAGGAACAATACATTTTTACTAATAAATTCCCTGTTTTGAGATAGACTAGTAGGTTTATCTGGGCACTTTTTCACAGAAAACAAGCTGGAAGGGTTTAGTCATAGAGGATAGACTGATGAATATTCTCTAAATGAAGAAGTAGGAAACGTAGGATATTCCATTGCACATAAAAATAGTATTTGTTCTGATTCTCATAATTGAGAAATTTGCATAATGTTAGTTTCTCTCCTTTGAAATTGTCTAAAGAATTCACAATTTCTTCTATTTTTTTCCTCAGATATATAACCAGGCATCTCCTCCAGCAAGCCCTGAAAATTCTGCAGATCTGGATGACGGCTAGCAGGCTTAATCCTTTCTCTGCACTTTTTGAGTAATGGATAGGAATGTCGTCAGCTGCCTGCCTTGTGTTCATCATTGTTGCAGTTGGCAGTGTAACAGATAATGGGATGGATTCAAGGCCACTGAGAGACAGAAGCCTGACAAGAACTCATCCATCACTTCCCTTTTAAAGGGTCTCTGTGGAAGAACCAAAATCAAAGAAGTAATTGAGGTTCAAGGGACACATGGGATTTGGGAGGATAGTTCTGCATTGCAAACAAATTTGAGCTGTCAAGTATGTTGTGTAAATGAAATATTTTTGTCAAAGCAGGGTGTTAATAACTGTCATTTATTTTTCCATAACATTAACCATAACATAATCATAGGGTTATTTTTCTTTTATGTTGTATGTAAATTAAAACTAAACATTGAAAGTAATTAAAATATGTATTGAACAATTGAGAAGACTCTTGTTTCTAATCAACATTTTTCCATCTGTCCTACTGATGTCTCTGATAAAGTAATTTGGATGGTTTAAATTCAGTTGGCTGCTGAATGCCTGAATAAGGTTCGTCGGGGTTTTGTTAGAGTTCTTCTTTTCCTGTTTAATTTCTGTTTGCCTTCTGTTATGATGGTTCTTTATGTTCCACTTTTATATGGTTCTTGATTGAAGGAAATACTATCTTGTTATCTTTTAGATTCATGATAAGAATGGATAAATGATTGGGGGTAAGGGGCAGTTGTTTGCCTAAAGCAGCACATTTGAATAATGTGAAGATGCTGCTAAATGGTAATAAAAAGGAAAAAAAGAAGAAGCAGATAATCTAAGTGAGATCAGACTAGGAAATAATTATTTGCATCAGTAAGAATTCTTAACACTCTAAGATGGAAAGGATTAATGGGATGGAATTGATGGATTTCTTAAATGGTCTCTCAAATATAAAGGAATGGAAAATATACAAAACAAATCAATAATTATTTTCTTAATAATGGAAATCAGTACCTATTGTAGACACATAGTGCACTTTATAATTGAAGAACTATACACCTGAAACAAATTAGAAGTAAGTCTTGTGTAATTTTCAGCATTGTGCAGAAAAACCAATTAAATTATCCATTCTGTTTCCATACTGAATATCCCAAAGTGCTTCAGTCTAAGTTCATAGGGCAAAACCTCAAGTTTCTGAATCCTCTTTCTTGCCTCACTCTGAATTCTCTTTAATTTGACAACATCTTTCAGGAAGTGTGATACCCTGAATTGTACTTCATGTGTAGTCCTACCAATGTGAGGAATAATGACTTCGTATGTCTTTGACACAATGCTTCTTCTAAAGCTGACCAGAACTGCATTAGTCTTTCTAGCATCTGTCTGACATCACTGAAACACGTTCAGCTTGATATCAAGCTGTTTCCAAGCTCCCCACCTGATGTGTATATCCTACATTTTCCACAATTATTTTATTTATCTAATTAATTGAGCCCCACATCCCAAACTCATACAACAGGATTAAAACACACACACACAAACAGTCAAACATAAAAACCACACAACACAACCTAAAATAGCAAAAACCAAGACAAAAGCAGAAAACATTTTAAATCCCAACTGATTTAGCAAAGACATTCATCCTATATCTTGGCCCAATGCCTGGTGTGAAAATAAATTTTTAAGGCCATAAAGAAGGCCAGCAGGGATGGGATCATCTGAATCTGAGGTGGAATGCAATGCCAAAGTACAGGCATCACAATAGAGAGGACATATGGCCCTTGGATGACATTTTTTTTCATAGAGGGAACTTGAAGCATGCACACTATTAGATCTCATGGGGTAAACAGACACAATTGAAAATAGGCATTTCACAAATAGTTAAGCCCTATTGCCATGAAGGTGATAACAAACACCTTGGCCCTTCTAGTACTTTCCATTTCTTTCCCAAGGATACTTCTGTTTAGTCTTCATCTGAGAAAATTACAACTATATTCTTTTATCATATGTTAAGTGAGTAACTATTTCTGCACTTCAGGAAAAAAATATCACTTCCATAGTGTCTCAAACATGGAGGGATCTACTGAGGATGGTGCATAGACTAATGATTTAAGTAATGAAATGATTGCTAGCTATTGTACCACTGAACCAAAAAAGATGTTGGGCTGTGTTGGCATAAGCTGTTTAAAAGTGGAATCCCAGATTAGATAGTCCATTTGTAAATTGTAGAAACAGTGAAGCACTTTTGGTAAGTCTCTGAGCAAAGAAGAAATTCTTAAAATACTTAAATAGTCTCTGGAGGGAACTTACCTTAAATTGTGAGGTACTTATATATGTATTTTCTCTCTAACATATTAATCTGTTAGTGCTTGGAGTGATGGAAACTGCAAATTAGAATCCCTAGAGATCTAGCATATTTTTAGTGCTATAATAATAGCCAATCCATCACACATTCCATTAAATGTACATTGACCTATTCCTCTTTAGCTGGTCTTTGTTATTGAGTGAATAGTAATATCAAAGTCGCTACTGTTCATCCCTCACTGATTAAAAACCCTAACCCTCAAAAAAAGGCTCTGAACTGAAAGCATACCACTGTATGTTAATCTATATTTTAAAAATCATACTTCAGGAAATATATTAGAAGGAATAAAAGTAATGTGATTTACAATTAACATAAATTGTCCATGTTTTAAAAAAGTGTTACATAAATTGAAGAGATACGAAACTACTATATGTTTCAAGACACATAGAATATAACTAGTGAAGTTTCCAAGATATTGTTTAAAAATCTGTAGGGAAAATCCCCAATAGTCTGTCATGCTGTGGAGAAAATAGACATAATAACTATTTACACAGCCATTCTTGGTATATTTCTAGCAAATTCTAGAACTTATTACTTTAGGTCTACTATAGAGATTGAATATTTTAAGAATTCTTTGGACAAACTCTGTTTCTTCCTAGGTTCTGGCTAGAAATGATCAAAGTATTTGGTGTTAATGCTGATTTCCCAAGAACCATATTTACTTAATTTTGCTTCTCTGGAGCATATTCTTCCTATTGATTCTTAAATCATTAACAGTGAATGATAGGAGGGTTTCTACCACAGAAGATTCTTTGCAAGCCTGACTGTAAACCAAAATATTTTATCTCTGTGTACCATTAATACAATATAGAAAATATCATTATTAACTTGTAGCATATTTCAACATACAATTTAGTTTTCCATGAATAGGACATTGCATCTCAGTGTTGTTAATTCACTCTTTAGGCAGTCAGAAGTATGCCATCAATACTTCTTAAATAATTAAAAGTACCTATCAGTAAAAAAAATTATAGTGCATATCAACAACTGGTTACTGATCAGTTTGTATAAATGATATTGCTTGAAATTTAGATGAAGAAATGAATCAATTATCATATTCAAGCAAAGCACAGCTGCTGGTTTTAGGCTTGAAGAGACGTTAAATTGAGAAATCTATGGGCCCAAAGTTTTGTTTATGTCCATGTGACTGTAGTACTAAGTAGCATAACATTACTTTCTAGACTTTCATATGGTGCAATGGAAATCTGTCAAGTGAGAGTTGTTTGTGAAAAATTATGAGTTAAAGTGAGAAAAATGAGCGCCAAAGCAAGTTAGAGACAAATGAAACCTCTAAAAGAATAAATGATAGGGAGAACTAGAGAGAACATTGAAAAGAAATGCTAGCATTGATAGTGAAGGACAGAGAACCTTCTTCAGAGGCTCTTGCAATCATATTGGTAAATGAAGAATTCTCTTTGGGCCAGCTGCTGGCGGGTGCAGTTATAAACAAGGACATGGAAGCAATCAAGACAAATGATACAGTCAAGATATGCCACTATAATATACAGGGTCCTGTTCAATTAGCTGATCAGATATAGTTAAAAATAGTAGTATGCAGTTAAAACAATCTTGCCATTCATGAGATTGACACTTGTACACTGGAGGCAAGCATAATTGAAGTTACATTTTTTTAACTTTAAAATTAGCTTAGCTGAAATCATGTGAAAACCAAACTTTTCCCATAAATGCTATTGTCTAGAAACAGAAGAGTATGCAAGATATAATCATTTTTTTATATTTGTAAATGAGAATGTTCCTTATCTAGCATAAGTCATGAATTGGTCATTTTTTTATGATAAAAAATCAGGCCTGCAACTGGATTGCATTAGATGTAGAATTTATATCATCCAGGAGTACCTATGCGAATATTGTTAAGACAGGGTTTATTTATGATCAGCTGCTAAGTGAAATGATTTTAGTCACTTTAGATACTTTCTTAAAGATTGACCACAGAACTAAGAAGACTACTTCTAACAAAGAGATTTTTATCTTCTTTTGGTAAAACAAACAAACAAATAATGATAAAGTTAACCACTGTCAGGCATTGACATCTGGTCAGACAACTGTGCTTGGACTATATTTGATTGTACTTGGCTGTATATTAAGAACGTAAGTGCTTTGGCAGTGGAAGAGCTCTGTTTAGTTTCATGTAGCTAACTGTGCATGGAAGAATTATTGCACGCTCAAGGTCGCTTATGACTTCCCATCATATAATGTGAATAGTGTCATTTGAAATCTTACATGGCAGTTTAGCTCGCAAGAGCCAGGAAGGTAAAGTTTCCATAGTGGCGTTTAACTTTATTTCTCAATTGTAATAGCATTCTATAGCTATAAAATATTCAGAAGACTGCTTCTCATGGCTGACTCTCCAGTGAACCCCCAAACAAGTAATCCAATCTAAAAATGAATTGAGAGTTCTTCAAAACTCCATTTGATTGTAATGCGAATTTCCAATAATGAATAATGACAGGACTGTTCATTTTGAAAACCCAGAGTCATTTCACTGAAGATTCTGTTGGAATTTTTCATTTGAACAAGTTTCTGCTTGTGCATTAACACATTAACAAAAATGAAAAGATGGGCTCTCATATAGGTTTATTGGTATCAAAGAGTTTGACAACCAAAGAAAGTGTAAGGTCAAATTGTACGGATAGGCAATAAATGGAGAAGAGGTATTATTTCATGTCTTTGTTTTTTGAGAGGGCTGTTCTGAACAGTTTTCCAGCTATATGACTATCAGATCAGGGCTAAAAAAATCCAAGTGACTTAGAAGTAGCAGAAAAGAGTTTCTGAATCTTTTTGTGTTTAACTCTTGGTTATCTGAATTATTGAAGCCCAGATCTGGCTCCCTACAGTCATCACATTGAATTTGATTTGAAAATGAAGTTATTGTTGGGGCTATGTCAAAATAAATTATTTAAGGAAAAAAAAGTCAGTGTGATTGCTGTGTTGTTTTTCTTTAGAGAGCTATTTGATATATGGTGCTTTTTGAATGCTAGAAATTAAATGTGTCTGTTGCTGTGGCAGGATGATTCTTTATTTACTTACCTTTATAGTGAATGTTTTCCATTATAGTGGATAACTGA